ATGAAACAGGCAGATGTATAGAGACCAAAGTAACTAGCCTTCCCTCAGGGGAAAGGGAAAGTCTTTGCTTGTTGTTGTGTTGTTAAGTGTGGGGACTCAGATCTGACTCTTAGTGACCCCTGCTTGGGTTTCCTAGGGGGTATCACTAGGAAGTAGATTGCCCCACCTTCCTTCCGAGGAGTGGCTGGTGGGTTTGAACTGCCGGCCTTCTGGTTAGCAGTCAAGTGCCTTAGGCACTATGCTACCAGAGCTCCTAGTCTTTGCTTAGGGACTATTAAATTTCTGTTAAAGATAGTGGAATTATTTGGAAACAGATAGTGAGGTTGATTGTACATGATTGGTGTCACTGCATTGTGTATTTGGGGAATGCTAAATTTGCAAATATTTTGGTGTATACATTTTTACCACAAATAAAACAAAACCAACACCACTTGTTATAAAGTGATTACTTAAATTTACCTCTATAGCTTGTTTTGTTTTATGGTTGGTTGGTTGTGTGCCGTTGAGTCGGACCCAACTCATAGCGACCCCTCCTTGGGTTTCTAAGGCGGTATCACTACAGAAGTAGATTGCCCAACCTTCCTTCCGAGGAGTGGCTGGTGGGTTTGAACAGCCAGCCTTCTTCTGGTTAGCAGTCAAGTGCCTTAGGCATGTTTTATACTATTAGTTATTACCTATTTCCTTAACATTATTATTGTTAAAAAATTGTTTCATGAACATGAAATGAATTATCTTCAGGTTCTAGTAAGTATTCTGAAGAAAAACTTATAATCAAGGAAATAGTGACACAGCTGAGTTTCTGGGGCCACAAATACAATTTGTTAAGAGGACAAAAGAGTCCCTAGCTCCTCACCCTATACCCAAACCATGCCTTTTACCCCAACTGAAGGGCTGGAGTCACATCCTGTATAACTCGATGGGAGTTCTATTTACTGAACTATTTCCTTGTGGGTAGATGTTTGTTATAGTTTAGTATACTCCTCAGGAAAGTGTCATTTTATGCTGAGCATATTCATGAAGATTTGGTAGATTTATACATTAAAATATACTTTTTTTGCATACATTAAAATAAAGAAGGTACCTGTTCTGGTTACCTAGTGCCACTCTGGCAGAAATATACCACAAATTGAATGGCCTTAATAAACAGGGGTTTATTCTTACAATTTGGAGGCTTTAAGTCCAAGTGCAAAGTGCCAGGCTCTTGGGGCTGGGTGAAAGCCCCTCAACCTTGGGGTTTAGCTCTATCTCCTGCTCCCGGCCCACTAGAGCTAGAGGTGTTTCTTCACTCAGACAGCTGCTAGCTGCTGAGGCTGAGAAGCCCCAAGGTTGACAAGTCAAAAGACACAGTCCCAATGTTTCCAAACCACATGGCAGCCCATTAACTTAAGTTCGTCATAAGTCCCAAGGTCGGCAGAGTATGGCAGGCTGCTGAGCAATGACACGGCTACATGCTTGGTCTAAGCATGCCGTAGGCTAGAAACCATTCTCAAAGCTTCTCCTTATATACAAGAAGCGGACCACATACCCAAAGGCAGCTACTCAGCTGCTCCCAGTAGATTCCACCATGGAGTTGATTACCAGTCTCATGGGGAATACTACATCTAGCTGCCCAACTACTCAACCAGGTCTAAGCCAAGTTGACATACAAACATAACCATTACAGTACCTATAATTCTACTACCCTGAAAAATAAGTTGTTTTCTTCTCATATTCTCTTTCCAGTCCTTGCTGAGAACCATATTTTAAATATCTGAAAATCTGGCTTACCTTTTCTAGGGAGTTTATTGTTGTTGTTGTTGTTACGTGCCATCGAGTCGGACCCAACTCGTAGCGACCCCTCCTTGGGTTTCCGAGGCAGTATCACTACGGAAGTAGATTGCCTCATCTTCCTTCCAAGGAGTGGCTGGTGGGTTTGAACCTCCAGCCTTCTGGTTAGCAGTCAAGTGCCTTAGGCACTACGCTACCAGAGCTTATTTATTTATTAGAGGAGAATTTTGTTTATTAGAGATTACTTTTGAAGCAGTGCACTTAACAAGTACAGAGGTGGAAGTAAGACTTTCTAAGATTGACCATTTCATTGGGAAGAGTTTTTGTCGGTTTCTTTAGTATTGAACAACGTTAAATGTCAACGACTCAACTGGATATGTACACCCAGTTTAGTAAGCGACCTACACTGTTGAAGGCATGCTTCAGGATTTTTTGGATTAGGTCTAAACAAGGCTCTCTAAAGCTCCTATCACTGGGACTAGCTCACAATTGAATTGAATGTGGTTGGGAAGAAAATAGCACAAAAGAAATAGGCTGCCAGTTGAATAAACACATTTGTTTTACTGAAATTTACTCCCTATTGATCATAGCACCAGTCAGGTTTTCCACTTAAATAAACAAATAATCCTATTGATTGTCCATAAATCTTCAAATTAAAATTTCATTTTTCTGAGACTATAAATTTTTGAAAGATTGATTTCATTTATTTGATCACTCATTCACAGAAAATCAACTGCTGCAATATTTGATTTAGGAGTCCTGGACAATTATAAAAAACTGGGTTTTGTAAATATAATTGGGTTAATATTTCATAGATTAGTTGTAGAACCTTGTGGTAATTAAGTTTGTGTGTCAACTTGGTTGGGCCTGGTTGAGTGGCTGGGCAGCTGGATGTAGTATTCCCCATGATGAGACTGGTAATCAACTCCATGGTGGAATCTACTGTGAGCAGCTGATTCCTTAGGGAATGTGTTCCGCTTCCTGTATATAAGGAGCCTTGGCGAATGGGCTCTACCTTATGGCACACTTGAACTCTGCATTTAGCCTTGTTGTTCAGCAGCCTGCTGTTCTCTGCTGATCTTGGGACTTTCAGTGGATTTGAATTAAAGGCCTGCCACGTGGATTGGTAATATCAGGACTGTTCCTTTTTACTTGTCAACCTTGAGCTTGCCAGCCTTAGCAGCCAGCAGCTGAGTGAGAAAAGCCTCCAGGTTCAGTGGGCCGGAAGCTGGAGGCAGAGCTGAAGCCCAAGGTTGAGGGGCTTTTACCCAGCCCCTACAGCTTGGCACTTTGAACTCGAATTTAAAGCCTCCAAACTGTAAGAGAATAAACTCCTCCTGTTTGTTCAAGCAAGCCATCCCATTTGTGGTATATTCTTATCACAGTGGCACTAGGTAACCAGAACAAACCTTGATTTACTTTCCAAATGAGTAATAGCTAGATCAGGCAGTGGTGTACAAATTAGTTACTACCATGTGATTTATGTTTTTTAATGGATATCATGTCCATTTTTAAAAACTAGGCTTATATAAAGCTACAGAACATATTAGGTAATCTATAAAGTAATTAAGTAAAAAAATCTTTAAATTTAATTGTGTTAAAAAATATACTGTCCCTAAATTGCTGTACTAGGAAATTGGAAATTGTATAAAATCTAATGTATTTTGTAATACGGTTGGTACATCAACTGTGTACCTTTCCCTTGGAAGTGGGATCAACTTTATCTTTGTTTACAGAATATTTGAGCCATCCTTAGCTTAGTTTTCAAGTTCATCTACTCCTGATAGGTAACAAAACTTTCTCTACTCCTATTTAATTTGCCATTCATAAATTTAGGTATAGGCAGGCTCAAGCACACTGCTGTCAAGTTGATTCCAACTCATAGTGACCCCTATTGGGTTTCCGAGGTGGTAAATCTTTATGGAAGTAGATTGCCTGGTATTCCTTCCGTGGAGTGCCTGTTGGGTTTGAACTGCCATCCTTTTAGTTAGCAGTCAAAGGCCTTAGGCACCACACCACCAGAACTTCTTGGTATAGGTGGGAGGGGGAGATAATTTTGGGATGGGCGCCTTCTATACATTGTTGTTGTTGTTATGTGCTGTCGAGTCGGCCCTGACTCATAGTGACCCCTCCTTGGGTTTCTGAGGCAGTATCACTACGGAAGTAGGATTGCCCAACCTTCCTTCCGAGGAGTGGCTGGTGGGTTTGAACCTCCAGCCTTCTGATTAGCAGTCAAGTGCTTTAGCCACTATGCTACCAGAGCTCCTTTCTATACATTAGGCTACTGCTTAAACAGCAGGTGAGAGGAAGTTCTTGTTGCCTGTTGCAGTATCAGGATGGGAATTAATCCATAAAGTGAGTATACCATGTGTATTTTTGTACAGAAAATTTAAGTCAACTTATGCATTGAATCATTTGAAACACTGATAGATGATGATGGGAAAATGATAAACCATGCATTTTCTGATACCTGTTTATATCTTGAGTCCTAGTTGCATAGTGGTTAAAGCACTCAACTGCCAACCAAAAGATTGGCTGTTTGAACCCACCAGCCACTTCACATGAGAAAGATGTGGCATCTATTTCCATAAGATTTAAAGCTTGGAAACCCTATAACAACAAACCCTCTGCCGTGAAGATGATTCAGACTCATAGCAACCCTATAGGACAGAGTAGAACTGCCTCATAGGGTTGCTAAGCCTGTAAATCTTCACAGAAGCAGACTGCCTCATATTTCTCCTGCAGAGCAGCTGGTAGGTTTGAACTACCAACTTTTTTGGTTAGCAGCTGAATGCCTTAACTGTTGCACCACCAGAGCTCCTATAGGGCAGTTCTACTCCATCCCACAGGTCACTATGAGGTAGAATTGACTCAATAGCAGTGGACATGGTTTGGTTTATATCTTAAAATATGAAGTGTATTTATTTGTTTTTAAATGTATTTCAGTAGCACCCTATCTGAAATGTCTAAAAATGGCCTGTTTTCTCAGCAAGATCAAAATCAGTTAAAAGTATAGTTTGTCATTTGCTTGCAAATTTTCAGTGGCCAATATAAGCCAGTCTGTATTTCAATATCAGGCTATATAGTCCAGTTTGAAAGGGCCATTGAATAAGGGGGAAATTGTATGACATCCCAGATTACTTCTTCACTATTTTTTGATCCTCTTAGCAGTGTCTCTTTTATAAGATATAATCATTAAAGTTTATTAGTCTATTTCTTCTTCTGTTTCACAGGAACACCAGTGTATTCAGTAGCATGGGGCCCGGATTCAGAAAAGGTTCTTTATACAGCAGGCAAGCAGCTGATCATTAAACCTCTTCAACCAAATGCTAAAGTTTTGCAGGTACATGTCAGACATTTATAAATTGTTACTAGGATCTGTCAGAGTGCAAAAGGAGAGTGTCCTTTGTCAGAAGTCTTTTTCTTCTGGATGGTCTTTTTATAGTCTTGAGGCCTTTAGTGTGTGGTTTTATCAGCCTTTATTATGGAACAGGGAGTATCTGGTTATATTTCCATCAAGGTTTACTTCTTTTTATTTCAAGCACATTTCATTAGCAAATCATAAATTTACTTTTTTGGAGAAGCATTTTATTGGGGTTTGGGTGAAAGTTTACAGAGTATGTTTGCTTCTCATTCAACAGTTTATGTACATTTTGTTGCCTGACATTATTTGCAATCCTGTCAATGTAACAGCACTCTTCTCACTTACTCCCTGGGTCCATAAATGTATTTTCAATTACAAAATTGTCACATGATTTGGCACAATTAGGCATCCTTAAATTTAGCAGGGTCAGCCTCCAATGTATAGATTGGAGACAAAATAGGACTAATCATAAAATTTTAAGAGCCGGTTCAGATTTTAATTTTTATCATCGTGATCCTCATTCTCATCTATCTAATACACATGAGCTTTATCATTCTTTTAGTACTTGTAGAGTGGAGAAGGAGTCAATGTAATATTTAAAACAAATTTAGTGTATGTAACTTTGCCAATTACAGAGAGAATATTTATTTAAAGATAGTGCTGTTACAGGAGCTCTGGTAGCATAGTACCTAAGGCATTTGACTGCTAACCACTCCTTGGAAGGAAGGTTGGGCAATCTACTTCCATAGTGATTCTGCCTGGGAAACCCAACGAGGGGTCACTGTGGGTCCGGTCCAACTTGATGGCAGTCTGTCTGTGTTTCAGTGCTGTTACACACTTTATTTTGTACTATCCTCGGAAGGAAGGTTGGGCAATCCTACTTCCGTAGCGATACTGCCTCGGAAACCCAAGGAGGGGTCGCTATGAGTCGGGGCCGACTCGACAGCACATAACAACAACAACAATCCAGAAAGGAACATTTAAGCTAGAAGCTGAATCTTGAAGAGAGTAACCAAAAAAACCAATCTCACTGCCATTAAACAGATTCAGACTCATAGCGATCCCCTTTGGGTTTCTGAGATGGTAAATATTTATGGAAGTAGATTGCCAACTCTTCCTTCTGTGGAGTGTCTGGTGAGTTTGAACCACCAACCTTCTGGTTAGCAGTCAAATGCCTTAGGCACTACACCACCAGAGCTCCTTTTGAAGAGGGTAGGGAAGATTATTCTAAAAAGAAAAATTATTGTTTAGTGTCTCAGTTATCTGTTGTTGTTAGGTATTGTCAAGTCAGTTCCTACTCATAGTGACCCTGTGTACAACAGATGAAACACTGCCCAGTCCTGTTCTATCCTCACTATGTTTTCTGGGCTTGAGCCCATCTTCACAGCCATTGTATCTGTCTACCTTGTTGAGGGTCTTCCCCTTTTTCGCTAATACTCTTTTTAACCAAGTATGGTACCTTTCTCCAGGGACTTGTCCTTTATGATAAGTTGACCAAATTATAAGAGATGAAATGTGGCCATTCTCACTTCTAAGGAACATTCTGTCTACACTTCTTCCAAGACATATTTGTTTCTTCTTCTGGCAGTCCATGGTATTTTCAGTATTCTTCGCCAACACCACACTTCAAATACATCAGTTCTTGGTCTTCCTTATTAATTATCCAGCTTTCATGTGCGTATGAGGTGATTGAAAATACTATGGCTTGGATCAGATGCACATTAGTCTTCAAAGTAACATCTTTGCTCTTTAATACTTTAAAGATGTCTTTTGCAACACATTTGGCCAGTACCATATGCTTTCTGATTTCTTTTTTTTTAAATTTTATTTTGATTTGGGTGAAGATTTACAGAGTAAATTCACTTTTCATACAGCAGTTCACATATACTTTGTCTCATGTCATTGACCAAAATTTACAAT